TAGTCGTCCTCACCCCACTAGTCGCACAGTGGATGATTTCAAATTCGAACTCGGGCGGGCCAATCGCGGCGGAGCGCGGCAGACGCCTGCAGTCGAAGCTTGTACATGTTTTTCTTTTGTTTTTCTTGTTGCTAAACGCTATTTCTTGTGTTTTAACAATGTACGTGATCGGAGTTGACTATTTTAGTGTTGTTGATCGGTGTCTCTTACTCCCAACCTCGTCTCTTTGTCTTGCGTATAGGTAAACTTAGCACGCGGACCTTTAACTCCAAATGCAAGCTTACACATGATTTTTATCTGTTTGCCTTGTTGTTACCCACTATTATCTATGTCGCGAGCAATGTTCATGATTAGATTTGTCAATTTTGTTGATGTTTAGAATTTCATATAGTGCTGTTCTCGATTGTTCAACTTTGTGTCAAAGTAGGCTTGAAGAAACGATGCAGAAGGAGGTTGCTGACATAAAACTCACTAAAACAACAGTAAAGTATATGCTAATTGAGAAAGAAGATTGTACAAGCAAAAATTACTATCACTCATCGTTTTCCCAAGCTTATCTGAACTCGGAGCTGAACAAACGACGATAAAAGTGGGAAAGATTGCTAAACAACACTAAAATCCTCAATTCCAATCACGCACATTGTTATAACACAAGAAGTGTCGATTAATAACAAGGAAAACAGAAGAAAAATTGCGCAGGCGTAAATTGAGAGTGGTGTCCGCCGCGCTCTGCCGCGACCCCTGCTCTAGTTCGACTTCGAATCCATCTACAGTGCGACTACTGTGGTGAGGACGACTATACAAGCAAATTAGTTCTGAGATATCGAACAACACCGTGGATTTTGCAAGTCTCAATATTCTCGTAGTCAACTATGTGACTATCACGTTGCGGGTTCGGTTTGAGTTTCAAAAAATTCGTTTAGCTTCAGTTCCTTCAATTTAGTATATATTATGTAGATCTACTTTAAAACTTTTTAGTTTTACTGAAGCAAATTATAATTTTGCCTTATCGCAGTAGTAGAAGCTGATAAAGAAAAGCATTAAAAGTGGTTTTTTTGAGTTTCGACACTGAATCTGCCCAACGTTTTGTAATTTCTCATAGTTTTGGGTCAGCGGTCCCCCCGAAGAAGTCAGGAGTAGGCCTAGCAAGTCTTCTTTCGCGGGGGAATCTTTAATTACTCCGTCAGCAAGAAGAGATGAAAAGAACCCTCCATAATGGATCCCGCCTACGGCTGCCAGGTGGTAGCGAGAACGGTGAGG